TCTAGCCATCAATCATGATTAACCCCTTCATCAACCCCAAATCCCTAATTAAACTACTCACAATTCATAATTGAAAAATCAACAGAATTGGGATGAATAGAAATAATTGTCATTAATTAAAAAGATGAACTTACAAATAATCCCAGGGTCTTGGAAGAAAATAGCGTAAAAACGGTGTTAAATTCGTCCCTAGGCCTCTCCGTAATGTTCGTAACCCCCAAAAAGGGTTAGGGAGGCCTTATTTATAGAAAACAGGGGAAAAAACCGAGTTTGGGCCGAAAAAGGAGTTTTTCGCGCGTGTCACGGGGCTACGCACGATCGTGCGTCCCTGCCTACGCACGATCGTGCGTAGCAGGCAGACGCCTCATCGCGGTTTAGTAATGGACGCACGATCGTGCGTCCCAGACGCACGACCGTGCGTCTGACTTTTTCGCTCCGTTTTCTCGTTTTCTTGCTCCAAACGTGCCCGGATTCAAACGAGGTCGATCCCAATGCTCTTTCTTCATCAAAATTTCGCCGTGAATCACCCGGTGACCTCCAAATCTCTCAATTCTTCCTTGAATGCTCTCTATCTCCTCCCGATTGTCTCTTTAGCGCCGATTGCCGGACTCTAACTTCTTCAAATCAACTCCAAATGCAACGAAACTTGATCCAACGCCTGCTAAACACAACTTGAGCCAAAATTGAGACTTGCAACGCCTTAAATCCAAGAAAATCATCAAAATCCGACCTGGACACGCATCAAATGCGTGTCTAAATACGGACTTATCACGGGATACTATCGTAAATTTGTGGAAAAATTCTCCGTATTGGCGTCTCCATTAACGAAGCTCACAAAGAAAGGGGCCAAGTTCATATGGGACGACAAGTGTGAGAAAGGGTTCCTTGAACTGAAGAAACGACTAACCGAAGCACCAGTACTAGCCCTACCTATACAGGGGATAGGGTATGATATCTACAGTGATGCTAGCATCCAAGGGCTTGGATGTGTACTGATGCAAAACGGTCGGGTGATTGCCTATGCTTCTAGGCAATTGAAGAAACACGAGGCGAACTACCCTACCCACGATCTAGAGTTGGGGGCGGTAGTGTTTGCACTAAAGATTTGGAGGCATTACCTCTATGGGGAGACATGTCACATTTTTACCGATCATAAGAGCTTGAAGTACGTATTCACTCAGAAAGAGTTGAATATGAGACAAAGGAGATGGATGGAGTTGATCAAGGATTATGACTTGATCATCGACTATCATCCCGGAAAAGCAAATGTAGTGGCCGATGCACTGAGCAGGAAAAGTACGTCGGGGACATTACTCACATGTCTACGAACTTTGAGGGCACAAGTGGAGATGTCCACGAGTGGGGTCCTCATTGCTAGATTCGAGGTTAGGCCCACATTGCTGAGTGAGATCAGTAGATGTCAGGCCACTGATGATGAATGCCAGAAGATCCGCGAGAGGATCCTTGAAGGGCCCGTGGAGAACTTTCGGGTACGTGATGACGGTCTTTTATTGTTTAAAGACCGTGTGTGCATACCAAAGAGTGAAGAGCTCCAAAAGTCTATCCTGGAGGAGGCTCACTCTTCGGCATATGCTATGCATCCAGGAGGTACTAAAATGTACCGAGACTTGAAGGAAGTTACTGGTGGTCGGGTATGAAGAGGGATATCGCAGAGTACGTGAGTCGATGCCTTACTTGCCAACAAGTTAAGGCAGAGCATCAGCACCCGGCGGGGCTTTTGCAGCCACTAACCATTCCAGAATGGAAGTGGGAGCATGTGACCATGGACTTCGTGGTGGGGCTACCACGAACAGTGAACAACTATGATGCAGTATGGGTAGTGGTTGATAGGCTCACCAAGAGTGCACACTTTTTGCCTATCAACATTACTTATCCTCTTGAGAGATTGGCAAAGCTATACACGGAGGAGATTGTGAGACTACATGGAGTCCCGATATCCATTGTCTCGGATAGGGATCCACGATTCACATCTCGATGTTGGCCCAAGTTTCAAGCATCTTTGGGTACTAAACTGAAGTTTAGCACAGCTTTTCATCCACAGACGGATGGGCAATCCGAGAGGGTGATACAGATTTTAGAAGATATGCTTAGGGCATGTGCTTTGGAGTTCCAGGGGAGTTGGGACAAACATTTGGCTCTAGTAGAGTTCGCCTATAACAATAGTTATCAGGCGAGTATTGGCATGCCTCCATATGAGGCATTGTATGGGAGGAAATGCAGGACACCGTTGTGTTGGGACGAGGTTGGCGAGGCCAAGCTCGAAGAGATTGAACTTGTTGAAATCACCAAGGCTAAGGTGAAAGTCATTCAGGATAGACTCAAGGCTGCCCAAGATCGGCAGAAGAGTTATGCCGACAAACGACGAAGGCCATTGGAGTTCGAGGTCGGTGATAAGGTCTTCCTAAGGATTTCCCCTTGGAAGGGTATCATCCGATTTATATCGAGGGGAAAACTCAACCCCCGATACATTGGCCCATTTGAAATTCTTGAAAGGATAGGGGCCGTGGCATACCGTCTGAAGTTGACGCCAGAACTTGAGAAGATACACGACGTGTTTCACGTATCGATGCTCAAGAAATACGTGAGAGATCCATCTCATATTCTTGAGAAGCCACCGGTAGAGATACGTGAAGATCTACAATATGCAGTAGGACCGGTGGAGATTGTCAGGCAACAAGTGAAGAAATTGAGGAACAAGGAGATTCCAATGGTGAAGGTTCTTTGGAGGAGTGATCGAGTCGAAGAAGAAACCTGGGAGACGGAGGTCTCAATGAGGGAGCAATACCCGTTTCTTTTCGATTAGACACGTGGATTTCGGGGACGAAATCCCAAATAAGGGGGGGTGAACTTGTAACACCGTCCCCAAATGTATTTACTTTTAAGTGAATAATATATTGAACCTTGTATAATGGTTAATGAGAATACGAAGTTGTGAATTTTCATTAATTATTTTGCGTGAATAGTAAATTCGCACGTGGGGCCCACACCGGGAGCGGGGGCCGCCCGATATTCCCGAGACCGTATATTTTATTCATCTTGGTCAATATAATATTTATATAGTGGTGGATAACTTATTGGTCCAAAGAGATGATATAGAGTTGACCGGTTGGTCAAAAAAAAAAGGGCCAAAATACCGGTACTAGTAATTTAACCGATAAAAGCCCGAAATGGGATTTCGGAGACCTATAAATTAAAGTTGGGAAATGTATATTCATTATAAAGGGTATAATGATTAAGAACGCATAATATATTTTATTTGACCCGATAAAATAAAATATATTTAAAACAGTCCGAAAAATACAACTTTCGGGACCGATTGTGCACTTTGGGACAAAAAGGGTTGACCTCCCACATGGGTGGGGGCCAACCCACGAATTTGGGCACTCCATTAGGAGGCTTGGTCGGCTGGAGGGGTATGGGAAGGGGTGGAATTTGATTAGAAGGGGATCAAACAAATTAAGGTGGCCCTCTCCCCCCACTCCACTCATACTATTGAGACAAGGAAATCCTCCCTCTCTCTCCCTCAATCACTCTCTCGGCCAGCACAACCCAAGCAAGAAAAAAAAAAGAAAACCTCCATCCTCCTTTCCAATCCTTGAAGAGAGCTCCAACAATAGGGATCCAAGGGGAAAGATTAAAGGGAGAAAAAGCTAGGAAAAGTGAGAAAGATTAAGGTAATAACCTTATATTGACTTTTCCTTTATTTTTCTTCTATCATATGAGATATATATCTTATGGAGAATCCTTGGGATTGTTCTACTTGATAAAAGTGTGGAATGATGGGTTGGAAAGTAGTTCTAAGTCCAAGAACGGACTTAGGAGCCAAACCGACAAGTTCACCGGAAAATAACCTTTTAGAGGTTATTTGTATTGGTTAAGGTTTTATGATGTTAAAACCTTGTTAGGAACTTGATTTAAAGTATTTTGAGCCTCGCCGGAGTTTCGCCGGAGTTGGTCAAAGTTCGCCGGAGTTGGTCAAAGTTCACCGGAAACTAGTCAAAGTTCAACCGGGGAGCGTAGAACGCGCGTGAGCTCACTTAAGGTGAGGATGACCGACTATATTGTTTATAATTATTGGGTTAATTTCATAAGATTGCCTAAATGAATTATATGTGTTTGGCATGAGTTATTTATGATTAAGAATGCCTAAAATGGAATATAGTATTGTTCATAAAAGAAAATGCATAATATACAAATTTAAGAATAAATTGTGTATAATTATGTGTTGTGATTATAATGACCCAATTGTGGTGTAAGTTATAAAATTGTATGGTGATAAATATGCTTTTACCTCATGAAGGGAATAAAAGTGATATTTTGATATTGAATCAAGTTATACTTGAATGTGAAATTAAATTGAAATGTATGAATTATTATGAAATTGGCGTTGGCTTATTAAGACTAGACGACTAGTATTGAAGACTAGTCGGGGATGTTAGTTCAATAGTGCTTGGGAGCTAATCCCAAGATATTGAAGCTAAGTAACCTTAAAGGATAATTAGGGTGGACTTTACGAAGTCAAGTTATGTTAGGAGTAGACCTCAAGGGTTACTCAAAAGGAATGGAGCCTAGACTAAGAAGTGGTTTAGGGATTAGATGACGTGACTACGAGCCGAGCTCTAGCACGTGGTAGTATGACTATGAGACGAGCTCTAGCAAAAATGTAGGAATGACTATGAGCCGAGCTCTAGCAAAATGTAGTGTGACTATGAGCCGAGCTCTAGCACAAAAATGTAGGAATGACTATGAGCCGAGCTCTAGCGAAATGTGGTGTGACTATGAGCCGAGCTCTAGCACAAATTAATATGACTATGAGCCGAGCTCTAGCATGAAGGAACATAAATTAATTTCAAATAGTAACATCCTAAGTTGAGGGTCTTGGAAATTGAAACTTTGATTATACTTAGTATAGTTGTCATTGTACTTGTCAAATGCTTCCAAGTACTGACCTCCCCTTCACGGGGGAGGCCACCTCACAGTTTCAGGTCGGGATTAAAGCTTGCCGCTACCGCCCGTTGCATCGGAGAATTCAAGAGAAGAAGACGTGGTTCGTGCTTCTTCTGTTTCTGTTTTGAAAACGATTTAAACCATGCTCATGGATATTATTTTTCTTTAATATGTATTTAGGGCTTGTATGCCCATGTTGCCAAAGGTGTGGCGTGCACATTTGTATTGAACATTTCCGCTGCTTTAAATGATTATTTTACATTATGTTGTTTATGGATGTACTATGTGTGAATGGTATTCAAGACGCCTAGTATAGTATGGATGAGTTGGACTGCGGTTGACTATTCGTACTGTACGGCGGGTTGTTGACGTGTCCGGTAGGTCCGGGGCGTGACACCATAAAATATCCCATATCGGGTGCATTAAATTATTTTGTGCTTCCCACCAATTCCAAATTCCCCGCCAAGTCACCAACTGCTTGAGGAAACTCTACTTTGGATGGTTGCTGGATTGTGTGAAGAAGCCCAAGTGGAGGAGTTGGGCCGAGAGCCCGAGATGCGCTACCTGTGTGGGGTAGCCGAGCGGCGTTCCTGAACGGATTGGATTGCGATTGGATCCGTTTGCGGATTAGGGCCTGGTTTTAGGCATGAGCCTAATATCCCAACAAATGCAAAATACAATCATTTTTATTGTACTATCGTATTTAGAGCGAATTTGATAACACGGATATTGATTTAATTATTTGGATGATATGCTAAAATTTATAAAGTTCTGGCTGAAGTGGCATGATTAGTTGGTTTATGAAAAATTATATTTAATATATATTTTATTTAAAAGTTAAGAAAATAGCTAACTTGATTCTCTAAAGTAATTTCAGCCAATTCAGCTAAAAAAGTAACTTAAACCTTAGCTTGTTTATTTTGATTGCTACAAAATTCGTCGCGTGAAAAAAAAAATACGTATTTGATAAAAATTTGACTGATAGGTTGATAAGCCGAAATAAAGGATCACCAAAGGAGCACTTAATTTGATAATTAAAGATATACTTAAATTACATCTATAAAATGTTTTTATCGTCACGGTCTACTAAATGAAATATAATTATAATCATTGGTCTTTTTAATAAGTGTAATGGTTCGAACTCCAATCTACGATCCAACTAATAATAATATACCTACTTTAGTAATATTTGTATCTTTTGGAAACTACTCTTCTACTATAAATATATTCGGTGTGTCTGGTTTCGTAGATTTAGTATGTAGTTTTCTGCTTACTCATTTATTTATTATTGTATGTTGATGATATTATCGTCAGGGTGGCTCTGTCTATCATTTATTTATTATTATGATGATATTATCGTTATTTGTAATTCTCCTTTCTCATATCAGTTCATTTATTTGTCTCATTACTACTCATTTTGCAATGAAAAATTTTGGGTGATCTTCATCATTTCTTAGGAGTAGTCCAGGCTGCCTGTACTTCTACACGTCTATTTTTATCTCAACATAAATATGTCATTGATCTTCTTGCTCGTTTTCATTTACATATTATTAAGTCTGTACGCACACCTCTTGCTTCTCATACTTCTCTTTCCCTCACTAATGTTGAGCATCTTTGAGATTCCACTAAGTATTGTAGCATAATCAGCGCATTATAGTATTTAACTTTGATGCGACCTAATATTACTTATGTAGTATATTTAGGGGGTGTTTGGATCTAATTCTTAAAACTGCTTCTGCTCCTTCAGGGAGAAGAAGCAGAAGCTGTAGTGTGTGGATGAAAGTGCAGAAGTGATTATGGTACTCAAATTTACTCCTAAAATCAGTTTTTTTAGAAGCTGGGGGTGACCAGCTTCTGAAAACTGATTCTGATTCTGCTTCTGCTTTAAAAAAGAAGCAGAAGCAAAATCAGTTCCAAACACCCCCTTAGTGTCTCAGTTTATGCATGCTCCTCGTACTACTCACTTGCTTGCCGTCAAGCGCATTTTTCGATATTTACATGGCAGATTGATCATGGGTTGTGGCTGTAGTCCTCCACTGAGCCTACTTGTATATTTTGGCTTACTCAGATGCAGATTGGACTGATTATCTAGATAACTCTCGTTCCACTACTAGATTTGCAATTTTCTTTGGTTCGAATCTTGTCTCATGGAAGTCCAAGAAGCAATCCACTATCTCTAAATCTTCCACAGAGGCCGAGTATCACGCTATTGCTTACACTGTGTAGGATACCTAGCTTACATATTCATTCTGTGTTGTTCAGACTAGGGTTCCCTATCAAGGTACCTGTAAGGCTTTTTTGTGATAATATATTTGCTTCCTACTTGACTGCCAATCCTGTTCAGGATGCTAGGAGCAAACATATCCATATTGATTATCATTTTGTATGAGAGCATGTGGCGCATGGTGTCTTAGTTGTGAAGTATGTTCTTACTCTCCTTAGCTAGCTCATATCTTCCCCAAGATTCGTTCTATTCAACAGTTTCATTTTTTTTAAATTAAAGACAACTTGCACGTTGTATCTCCCGCACAACTTGAGTGAGGTGTAATAACATACCTACTTTAGAAATATTTGTGTATTTTAGAAACTACTCTTCAATTATAAATATATATTTCAGAGCTCCTAAAGGAGTAACATATTCCATTACGTACTTGGCACCTGCAGCGTCCTAAACTATACTATACTATCCTCCTCTTTTTAATCGCAACATGTTGAATTTTACACTATTCACATGTTCTACTTTGACTATATTTTATATTATTATTTTTTGAAAATTATTTTTAAAAAAAGGTATTGTTCAATTCATCTCATTGCAAATTTTCAAAATCTAATTTTTAAATGTTTTTTACTAATAGAGATTAAGATATAATTACGGTCAAAGATGTGGTTGGCAAGTGTGAAATGTTGACCGTTGCAACTAAAAAAGAACGGAGGAAGTATATGCTTGAACCCTAACAATCAATTTAATCAAATAAATACTCCATGTGCGTGTATTTATGTGTGTAATAAAAAATCAAATTATATTCATCACCTTTCACTTTAGACAGTTTCCTCCAAGTACTTTTTATTGTATACGTAGTACAATATATAAATAATACACACTACATGCATGCACGTGTATTTATGTGTGTAGTACATGTGTTTGTGGGTGCGTATGTTTTAAAAATTAAAATGTGAATGAAAAAATTTGGAAAATAATGAATTTTTATTTACAAGAAATTTTGGGCAGAGATAATTAAAAAAAATGATGGCGAAAATCCCCATGTCTAAAAAACTTCTTAGCCACGTTAAACCGGTCCAAAATCCACAATATTGCAAGCTGGGTTTGTAGGTCTAAATAACAGGGTTCATTTTCACCATGACACCATACAATTAATTTAACCATCCTTTAATTTGTAATTCATCAATGATACATCAATTACAAGTATATATATTATAAGAGCTCGTTTGATAAAGTAAACTTTTTAAATGAGGTAAATTGAACAAGTTAAAATGGTTACATGTGCTTATTGGTCCGCCCGTGCTATTGATAAAACAATTAAAACGCAAGTTGAAAAGATAATTAGTATTAAAAGGTGTGGCAGAAGCATCGATCATTTTTTACTTTTAGTATTTTCTTCGTCCTTATTCGTTCGGTAAAGAGAAAAGTGCAAAACAGTACCAAACAATGTTAAACAATGTTTAAAATAGTGTCAAACATTATTATTTTCTTAATATGTGTAAAAGGAAGTGAGACCTTTAAATAGAGGCGGAGGGAGTATCATTTTAGGTCATTTGAGTTAATTAAGAAAATGACTTCCGCATTATTTTATTTTGAATAAGTCAGCTAATGGTTGTTAGAGAATTCGACCTCCCTAATAACATATGTCTCATAACATATTCTTAACTTTCAGTCTCCTAATACTAAAATTCTTGTTCCGCCACTATAGTCTATAGTTTAGATGAATTTGTGTTTGGTTGAAAAATGTACACATCTGGCTTCTTATTATCTTCTGGACTATTCTTAAATTTTAACTGAACTTCATTTTACTTTTAAGTAATAAATACTCATCCGTCCATTAAATTATATTATTAACCTCTTGTACACAAATTTCATTATTTCATAAATAAAACAATATATAGTCAAAAACGCAAAAAACATTAAATGAGGTAGGAGGGAGTCCAAAAAATGTTGATAAATAGAGCATAGGGTGGTGATAAATTGAGACCGAATGAAGACAAAGTAAATGACGAAAGATTAAAATAATTACTCCCACGACTATGCATAACTATAGAATCAAAAGCTATTATGTCAATAACTTCCTGAATCCTAATCTAATGACACCGGCCTCCAGATGTCTCTAACAAAAGAGACTTGGAATAAACAAATAATAAACAAATGATTAAAAAATAAATAAGGGAATGCTTGAGTTGACAAAAAAGATATTCTCCAAATATTTATGGTATATGGCGCAAAAGAAAAAAGAATTAATTCTACTTATCCATGCATTATCATTTGAAAGAAATGGCCAGGGGGGTTATTTAGAGTGGGAATAATGGAGAGGTGGCATGCCATTAATAAAATGGGCAAATTTTAGTTGACAGCACAGATCAGATGCCAAACCTGGATTCCCCATACTGCCAATCAATTGACAATTATTGAGCTTCTTCATTGGCCTCTCCTTTTATTTTTTCTTTCTTTTTATTCAATTCTATATATGCTCTTATGATTATATTCTAGTTCTAGACTCTCTATTAGGTGGCTATATAGGATAGCAACTCCATATAATTTCATGGATTCTGTATTAGATTTGTCTTATTAGAGTTGGTTGAGTCTTCTTCCCGACAAAGCATATAAAGGGTGGTAAGTTATGGTAATTTAGTCGAGCACAAAGACTATACTAGTGCTCGTTGCGCACAAGGAGTCCCCTAACGTTACAAAATTGCTCTTATACTACTGCTTGTGGGACTCGATCCTGGATCACTTGTTCCAAATTTCACTTATGTGACTAATTGACCTCTCCAAGCGGGCGAGTTAGTTGAGCCCCTAACATTATGAAGTGATGGATCCATCCATGAAGTTCTAGAATTGACAAACAACTTATAAAAACAGGCGTTAAATTGAACCATAATCACAATTTAATTGATCAGGTACCACATACTCGCATGGACCCTTAGTGAGTTAAATTGCCCCTAAAGTAGTTTTAAGCTAAGGGGTTAAAGTTGGGTCTATCCTTAATCTTCCATGTTGCATTCTTA